CACAGCACACACTCCCGGTAGAGCCTCACGTAAGTGGGAATGGGAAGGAGGAGAGAAAACCAGGATTCACCCCCACTTTTACAAACATTTCAGAACGTAGTATCATAGTAACATTTTCAGTGATCATAGTATCCATCTCCCTCGTCCATCCATCATTCATCTATCCACTCATCATCCGTCCATCTATTCTCCCTCTATCTTTCAACAAATATCTTCTGGACATCTGCAGTGTACTAGGCATGGGCAGGACCCTGAGAATATCCCATTGTGCTAAAACAATCCTCCCAGTACTTATTCTGGTGGGAAAAAGAGAAGGTAGGTGGCTCAGATATTAAGAAGACACCTTATGGCCCCATGAGAGCTAACTGCAGATCTGGTCAGGTCAGAGAGATTGGGGTCTTCCCTGGGGAGACTTCCTCAGGGTTGAGCAGAAAGTCCCTCTTTTCTCATTCCTTGTTCTGTTACAGGGTAGCCCAGAGTGAACTGGGCTGCCTGTCTATGGGTCCTCACCCGCGCGCTTAAAATTTAATTGTCCTGCAGGCACATACAAAAGGGTAATGGGTTTATTTACAAAGGAGGGGAAAGAAAAAGGAACAACCCAGGGAAAGAGAGAAAGAGATACAAGGTAACTAGAATATCTTACCAGCTCAGCTGGCTAACTTGGAACCCTAGTCACAAACTAACTGCTAGCCCCCAGTCACATGTTCTGAGAGTTGTTGCTTCAGACAGAGAGTCCTTCCCTCTCCAGAGTGACCATTAAAAAAAACCGCTCTCTATTTTATCCCCCACTGTCCCAGAATGCCTGCTTAGCTCCGCCCTTAGGTACTTGCAGTTCTCTCCTTGGTGCTGCTGGGAGTTGTAGTTTCCAATCACTGGAGTAGGGGGTGGAGTCCAGCAAGCTAGAGTAAGGGGTGGAGTCCGTGAAACTCTGCAGAGTTCCTTTAGGCCTTTAGGACATCCTTCCCCTTAACAGTTCTATGTACAGGAGTATGTTAGAGGCACCATTTGGGGTTTGAGAGTGATTGTGAATTGCAGGTGCAGCCTGATCTAACCGTTTGGGCTGATGCACTCAGGGATCTCAGGGGTGGACAGGTATAAAGTTGCCCATGCCAGCTGCCAGAAGTGACACCAGATGCAGACAGAACAGGGGTGTTCTCGAGCTGGCGCTGCCATTTATCAGTCAGACTGACTTTGGAACAGCTTCCCCTCTTTCTGAGCATCCGTTTCTTCTAATAGAAAGTATTGAGGGGAGCATCTGTCCTGCTTTCTGCAGCCAAGTATGGTGATGAGATGAATTAATATCGTGAAAATCACCAAGTGAGTGCAAGTGTGAGCCAGGTCATTAGTAAAGGTGCCAACTGCTCCCTGAGCTCAGGACCCTATACCCTGAGGTGGGGGGGGGGTCAACTCCATTTGGATAAGGTGTCCCTTTTCTTTTGAGTGGCTAATGGGTTGGGTCCTGATGAACTGCCATGGTGATGAGTCCCCCTGACTAGAAGCTTGTGACTCCTGTGTTTGATGAGTCCCCTGACTAGAAGCTTATGACTCCTGTGTTTGATCTGAGCCCCTCTTATTTCAGAATTCCAGAAAGGATCTCTTGCTTTACAAGAAGTTCCTAGAACCCTGAGGTCACACAGTGGAGGAAATGGGCCCCAAAGTGGCCCAGTTATTCCTCTATTTGCAGGTGTCATGAGGAGCTGGGTTCAGGATGCATATCTGCCTACGGCTGAGCTCTTGGCAAAGTTAAGGAAGTTTCTTTGGCCCCTTTTACTTTTCTTTGGAATTCTGTTCCCTTTCCTATTCTTCTCCAGCTTTTCCTCCATAGCTGTTAATGCTGGGCTTCCTCTACTTCTCAGAAATCTCCATTGCCTCTATCAATGTCAGTCCCGAGTATTTTCCAACAGGACTTTCTATGATGATAAAAATAACTCACGTCTGTTCTACTCTGGTAGCTATTAATCAGATGTGACTATTGAACATTAGAAATATGGGCAGTGTGATGGAGGAAACAAATTTTAACATTTTCATTCACTGAATTTACACTTCAGTTGTGACATGTGGCTGGAGGCGAGTTTGGGACAGGGCTGACCTGCAGAGCGATACCACAAATCAATACCACAAATCATTTCAGTTGCTCTGCCACAGTTCAAATTACTGTCTCGTGTCCCAATTCCAAGGTTCTCTTCTTAGAGAATTGCCAACTAGTTAATCTGATAACCAAATTCCTACCCATATATTAAGGTCTCTGCTCCTCTTAGGAAAATGCCCAGGTATTTTTAAAATGCTGCACTTTAGTCAATTCCGAGATACAAATGATAGGGATTTGAAGCATCCTGACAGCTAAGCACAGCAGGTAAAATGATCATAGACAGAGAGTTTCAGTCTCACTTCAAAACACCCTCTGTGGAGGGTCCCACCCTTCCGAGTGCCTGGCCTGGCTTCTTCCCTTTTGCAGTGGGGAGAGGGAAAGTCAGAGAATTGCAGGTGGAAGCTTTGGAGAGCTGGAGGGCTTGAGTGAGCAGAGCCTAAGGCTGCCGTCTCTTGCAAAAGAACCTGGAGGCCAGTCAGGGTGACACTGTGTTCCCCAGGTAGGGTGGCACCAGAGGAGGCTGTTGGGGAGTGATGGTTACCACTGGGACAACGGTGACGTGCTAAGCGTTCAGCCAAAAGCTCAGAAAGCAGACTGAACCACACCATGGAAGGTGGCACTTGTGTTGAAGCGTGGCCAGATAATGCAATTCTCTCTGTCATTCTAATGTCCTGTTTTAGGAATACTTCATTTGTCTTTGAATTCTTTCATGAACTTTGCTTTCTGAAAGTTCTTTTCGTCTGCAAATCCAGCTGCCTTTCTGTTTCTCTTGGATGACCATGTAATTGCTTTCAAGTTCTTGCTTGTGTTTTCACAGCAAGAAGCTGGCATCAGAAGCAGCCTGTCAAACTAAATACTAGGTTGGGGGGAGGGGGGAGGGCCTTGGGGGCGTGGATGCAGGGGAAGGACAGAAACCAGAAGTGCAAGAGACTGGCTTGGAGATGAACAGGAGGAGCCTCTATCCACCCTCGTGCTTCGGGATTTACCCTCCAGAACTCAGTTTGCCCATTAGCCCTCCATGGAATCCCGCTTTGAGGGTTGGAAAAGGCATTTTCAGCTAAGCTTTTAGCTGGAATGCATCCCTATTTGCTTAAAAAGCATCAAACTTTATAAAGTAAATTGGAGGCTGAGTCTCAAATTTTTCCCATACTAAAGTGGTCTATAAATGAATACACCTAGAAATAATAATAATGATAATAATAATGATGATAATAATAATAATATAGCAGCGGACCCTCTGGTTCTTTTGCAATGCAATTGCAACTACCTAGTGCTTTTCTTTGACTTCACAAAGACCACACACGGTACTCAGAGCTACCCTGTTCTCTCTCCTTTACCTTTTACTCAAGCAACCTTTGGCAGCATTGGGCTTTAAAAGGCAGCGCCCAGCAAGAAGAAACAAACTCAGAGAAGTCAATTGTCTGGCTGAGCTGACCGGTGGCAGTGTTTCCAAACACTCCTGGGCAGGGCGAGGAGGCCACAGCGTCCCACTGCGCCAAAGTATTTGGATGACTTACGGCACCTGCTCGGCACTTGCTAATGTTTAATCTCAGCATTATAAATTTCAGTCCATTTGCAGGAAAAACAGAAGTTCTTTCTGGACTGAGGTAACTTAGTGCAGGGGTGTACCGTTGCCCCCACACCCCAACCAGGGAACATTTGGCAATATCTGAAAACATTATTTTGTTGTTGCTGCTGGGGGGAATTTTTTTGCTGGAATCTTGAGCAATGTCTGGAGACATTGCTGGCTGTTATGAGTGGACAGGGGTGGTGTCTCACTGGTACCCAGTGGGGAGAGACCAGAGGAGCTGCTGTGCATTCCACAATGCCCAGAATAGCCCCTCCACAAAGAATGCTCTAGCCCAGGATGTCAACAGCTCTAAAGCTGAGGGACTCTGGTGAGAGACTCAACACAGACCAGGGTTGAGTCTTATCATGGAAGAGGCAGAGGGTTCTCAAAGAAAGCTGTTAAATGTCCTGGGTGGGAGCTGGGAAGTCCCAGGGGTGGTTTAGGTAGAATCCTTTTCTAGGCATGGCCTAGTTTCAGCTTCCTATCTTTGAGCCTTATCTTCTGAAAGAGAAAGGGCATTCAGGACGAGTTAGCCTCCATGAGTGTAGACTATATTTTATTTTAATTTTTATAATTTTTATTTTAATTTTAATAAGACTTGATTTTTCCATCTGTAAAATGGAGTCATAATACTCTGTGACCTATCAGCTGGATCTGGCTTCTTTGGGAGATGGATCGGGCATATCTGAGTTGGCATGAAGTGGGAAATGGACGTTAACTGCATTTCAACTCCAACTACAAAATGGTAATGGGATATAGTAAGTGGGGAGAAGCAGCTTCTGGGAGCCAAGCCTGTAGACTGTGACTGGGGCCCAGTGGGTCAAGGCGCCGTGTCCACAGTGTAGGGCAAGATTGGAGCCAGCCCTATATCAGTTCTCCCATGAAATCTGTCAATGGGTCAGGAGGGAGGAGACACACAGAACTGACAATATTGGGGCAGAAGGAGGCACAGAAAATTGTGGCAAGAAGTTATATAGAGATGCTTAGGAAAACAAAAGCAAACCTTTTTTTTGCCTACTTTTTTTGTTAAAAACTCTCAAGCACAGAAAAATGTAAGGAGAAAATAAAAATACCCCAGAATTGCACAACTAGGAAATATCAACTATTAATAGTTTTGGTATTTTCTTTGTAAAAAAACACAGATGGGTTTTCTGAGGACAGGCTAGGAGATTGAAAGGGCTTTGAGAAGAGCAGAATGAGACCATGTGAGGTTGGCTGTTGGGAATGATTCACTGTGAGTCCAGATAATTGGGTCCCTGACCTTGCCTGGAAGACACAGGAAGCAGGACAGCTGTCCTACTATGAGACAGAATGTAACAGAGGGTCACACGATCGCCTTACCTTCAGGGCCCCTGAAGGCAGACTGCATCCTTAGTGTTTGCCTCCATGAAAAGAAGAGTTCTTTAGCTGAAAGAGGAAATGACTCATTTTAGCTCAAAGATAACAGGAGATGCCACTTCTGACTCACTTTGCAGCACTAGCAGAATTGAGAATTGCTGCACTTCAGTGACAGGTAGAAGCAGCTTCACTTTTTCCCTAAATAAAGTAGCATTGAAATTACAGCATTCTAGAATTTTCATGTGTGTGACTATTTTGCAGTCCACAAAGTTCACTGCAAATAGCCCAGCTACAGTCTTCATTATACAGTGGTTCCCTTCCACCCAATTTGCTCTCCCCTGCCCTTCTGGAAACCACTCATTGGCCTTAAACTCTCTAAATCTTCATTTTTCTTTTAACTCCTCCACATGTTGGCTTTCTCACCAAGTCAGGCAGTGTTTACATAAACTTATAGGATAGATACAAAAATAGTAAAAAATGAGAAATTCCATAGACCCTTCACTCAGATCCCCTAATAGTTGGTGAACACCCTAACATGAGGTTAATATTTTCCCACTTTTGACTGATCTTTCTTTTCTGTATACACAGATTACTATTTTTTGAGTCACTTGAGACGTTGTGATCCTAATGCCTCTCAACCCCAAAATATTTTAGATTGTTTTCTTGTGAACAAGGGCATTCACTGATGCAATCACACTGTAATAATTAAAGTCAGAAGAATAGCATCGATAGGCAGTATTATCTCCAGAATCTGGTTTCCACATCGTAAGCACATATGGAGAGTCATCCGAATGGGGATTAGATTTTTCTGAAATCCGTTTCTGGGAACTTGAATGTGATTCATTGATAAATCCTGTCTGGACCATGGACAGCCCAATGGGAAGCTTGTGCTTGATTTCATCCTGTGGATTCACTTGAGCCTTGCGAAAGATGGCTTTCTGAAAGCCAAATAACCTTGGTGAGGAAGGGACTGTTCACTGGCTGGACAATGACGGGGCTGAACTCATCAGGAGTGGTGATTCCCGTTCTCTATGGCTCTAGTTTTGGAGAAAGCATTTTAAACTCTGGGGGCTGACTGGTGCAGGTCTCTGAGACATAAAGTGACAGTTGCAAGTAGGATTAGGATAAAAATGGTTTCCGCATTTTAGTATAAAACAGGTCACATATATCTGCTGTTACAGTTTTAAATTTACTTTGTTCTATGGACAGCAATTCTTAATGAAGTGTCCATTTTTGTTTTGCACATCCATGCAAAACCAAATAATCTAACTAGAGTGACGGATTTGACAAGGCTTTCAAATAATATCGATGACTGTGAAATCCAGAATGCTAAGCCTTATGCCTTGAAGAATTAAGAACTGGATATTCCTGACTCTGATGGAAGAGGAAGTGCTGGGTACGAACTGTGGATATCTGTCAGTGACTTCATGCCATTGACAATATCTTTCTAATAGACCCTACTTTCTTAACGTGACCGCTACTGGCATGATGAATGGAAGCCCAGACATCTTTGCATTAAAGACTGAAGATGTCAGGATAGCCGTTTAAGCATAAAATAGCCAGTCCATGACATTTCTTAGTGAGATGTCTGGTGAATTCAGAGCCTGTGACACAGATGTCTGGGACAGCTTTCTTGGAAGCCAGCAATTTTCCTCCATAGGTTGCAGTGAGGCTGACTTTTTCATTTTGAAAACATCGAACATTCTAGAATTCATTTTAGATTCTGGGAATCATTTCAGGACCTCAAGCACTCTCTTTGATAATGTCCTAACTCTGTTTAGAACAACTCCTTCTCTGCTTTATTTACTTCCCAAATAAATTCCAGGCTCTTTATACTCCTGTGGGAAACCCTGAGGGCTCAGCAGAAACTAGAGAAGGATGCAAAGGGCTTGGCACACAGGAGAAAGGCTGTGATGGGGTTGAAAAGTCTGGAACAATGAGGACATTAAGGGGGCCACAGTCCTTTCACTCATTTTTGCAGTTCACCTTACACACACCGAGTGCTAGGCCTTGGGCTCATTTCATTCACTCATCTCTTGATTGACTTGGTATTTGAAAACTGCGACTGTCCTTGTCATTCTAGGGCCAAGTCTCACTTCTATATTTATCCTGCCCTGTACCATGTGGAGCTGACTCCAGTGGCTCTCTTGTTCTTCAGCTTTGGGTTGAGCTCTGTCTCTAGCCCCCAGGAGATGGGAGAAGAACACCTAGGGGTGTCTTCCCCTCCCTCCCGGCTTGCTCCTGACTTACTGCTAGCAGTGACAACTGCTGTTGTCTCACTGTCATGGCCCCAGCGATCACTGGGCCCCAGAAAACTCCCTCTTTCTCCATATTCCCTTTTTTGCAGCAAGGATGGTGGCAATCCCCTATGGTTGTTCTCTCAACCTTCCCACAGGCTTGTAAACAATCTGTCACTTCTCTTAAAATCCTACCTGGGTATGCCATCCTTTTTCTCCCTGACCCTGATGGATACAGTCCTTGAATATATGCTAAATTGCTCTTTGATTGCTCTGGAAAGCTGGAAAGAAGTAAGGTTTTGCCTATAGTCTCTAATCCTAGGCTACCCCAATACATGATTTAACAGAAGTTGCTGGGAAATAAAAGGTCTCAAAGATTTAGTCACCGATAACTTCCTGTATTGTGTATCAGATAAAGACTGATCTGGATCTTGGGCCACATAATAGGAAGCATGATGCCTATAGAAAGGGAGGTGATAATGGTGCTTGATCCTGTCTCTGTTAGTGCCTAATTAGAGTTCTAGGTACAGTCTGGGCTTCCCTTTAAAAGCAGACCTGTAAGCTGTCTTTCTTAAGCATTTGAAGTTCTGTAACATATAGCAAAGATCAACAGTCTTTTTCTTCAGGGGCCAACTAGAAAATATTTTTGGTTTGTGGTCCAGTTCATATGTTGAAACTATTCTGCAAAACAGTCACAGATAATATGTACATGAATAGACTTGACTTCACTCCAGTAATACTTTATTTACAAAAATAAATAGTGGGCTGGGTTTGCTGACTTCTGATATAAAGGGAAAAAAAAAAAAAAGGTCCAGAAGGCTGGACTGGATCAATATGCAAAAATCATAGGGAAGTAGATAGTTGCATGTTCCGGGGTGAAGGGACTGTCTCTGAAAACTCTAAATAGTCCTTTAAGTAAATGTGATGAAAAATGCTTTGTTAACTTGACTGTAAAATCTGGCTGACAGATTGAACAAACTAATTTTTCTCTAGTACAATGACTGTTACTTGTCACATGAACTTAATTACTTCTAATAAGCTTCAGCATTTGAGGATTTTCACTGAGGAAAAAAAAGATCAATACACAACATGGATCAAATTCTAAAAATATTCTGGAAACAATAAGTCCTTTACATATATTACTTTATTTTATTTTCCCTCCAAACCTCTGAGATAACCACTTGCATTGTATCCATTTTATTGGCGAAGAAGTTGAAGGTCAAAGCAGTTTCATAGCTGGGAAATAACATACTCAAAACTCAAATTGGGATCTCTTTGATGCCAAAGACTGATTCAACAACAACTCCATCCTGTTTCTCTTTCTTTCCTTTCCTCAGTATTCATTAAATTTGAATTGGGCTCCTGCTAGTTTTCAAACACTATTTCAGATGCTGAAGATTGAGCTGTGATTATAAACAGGTGAAGTTCATATTCTGAATGAACTTCTGGGGAGCACACAGTGGAGGAGTAAATATACCATTAACAGATGAGAAGATATTAAAAGGTCATCACAAGACACAGAAATTAAAAGGTCATAAATAACTACTGTCCATGCCCAAACTTCGGGTATAACAACTACTGAGGAATTGTCCATGCTTTTCCTTGTTTACCAACATTAGTCCAAGTTTTAGTCTTTAGCCCTGAGAAATTGTCAGATATGGCCAGAAATTCAGAAGGAAACTTCATGCATTCTGGCAATTGATACAGATCACTATGGCAACTTGTAGCTGAGTGTGTGAAGTCCTTGATGGGGAAATAACCCCATGAGGCATTCAGGAATCATTCTTGATGGACAGGTCAAATGCGAGCATCATCAAACTGGGAGACCAGAGGCAACAGGTGTGAAGGGGCAGAAAGAGGCAGTTCAGTTGACAGAAACTAAAGAGGAGGAAATTTTGGCAACATTCCATTTCCCCGCTCCCTGTCACACCACATGAAAAGCCTAAATTCAATCTCCTAATCCCAAGTGTCAAAAAAAAAAATCCATATTTATAACAATTACCATGGAGAATGTCTGACTCCTTACAAGGCAGAGGCAAACACAACCTTGTTTGGAAGGAGTAGCATTACCATAGTGCCCAGGAATGGAGGGAACCAAAGGTAAATTCCAGAACCTTGATTGAGATTGAGACTATGAGAGAGAACAAGAGCACTAAGAGTCATACAGGGTAAAGCAAAAGAATTGTTGGGTCCAACAGGCAAGCGCTGACTGGGAATTGGAGACACAATTTCTAGAAATATACAAGCTCAGAGAAGGAAGAGAGAGAAACCAATATGTTGATTTGTCTTTTTGGTGTCAACTATCAGGGGTGAACTGGTGACTAAATTAAAGGCACAAGATAGAAACTGACCATAAAAGTCCCTTGCTCAGGTCTGCTGCTGGTAGTAGTGATGCTTCAGCAATTCTAGAGTTCTTTTTGCTAAAAGATTGCAAAGTGATTTTCAGATTAGTGAGCGCTTATAGCATCAGACAAGCGTTAGATTAGCACTAGACTATGCTAACTGTGCTCTTCCTTAGAAAAATGGTTGGAAAACAGAAAGATAATAGTTACCATGTAGTGACTTCCAAACACTGCTTTTAAGCACTTTCATTGCATGTTTTATTTAATTGACACAAATTTCTTTATAAAATAAAGTACTGGGGTCCTCCCTGGTGGTGCAACGGGTTGGGATGCAGCACTGCAAGCTAGCTGCAGCTATGTCAGTGCGAGTTCGATCCCCAGCCCGGAGGTGACCACATGGCACAGCAGACCTCTCCTGTCTCACCTGCTGCTCCCCTCAGCAGTGTATTTCGACGATCTGCCTGTTCTGCTCCCTACTCTGTCTTTGGTG